GGGGCCCAGGAGGCCCCGCTCTCCGGGCACCTGGGCCGAGCGGCTCCCGGCTCGGCTGTGCCCGGCCAAACCTCGGGTCGGGCCTGGGGACGAGGCAGCTCTGGGGCCGCCGCTCGGGCTCCAGCGGCGACAGCGGTCGGCGCGCGGCCGCCGGCCCGGCCTCGGCTTGAAGCGCCCCTGGGCTGCGCGTCCTTCCCGAGCTGAGCCGGCACTCCGAGGTGTGCTGTCGCGGCCTGGCAGTTGTCTCTCTGTGTGTAGGGTTTAGAGAAAATCATTCAACGAGACTTTTTTCCTGATGTGGAGAAGTTGCGAGCACAGAAGGAATATCTGGAGGCTGAAGAAAACGGTGACTTGGAGAAAATGAGACAAATTGCTATAAAGTTTGGCTCCTCCTTGGGCAAATCATCGAGGGACACACCTGCACCCTGTAAGAACTGGCTCACTGGGGCATAAGGGTTTTATATCTAATACTACTGCTCTGGTTTATTTAACTTTGTGGAGGCAGTGTTTTATCTTAAAGATTCAAGATTGACACTGCATGGGAATTAGTATAACAGGTTGGGCAGTAGTCACTATCTGATAGCTGATGCTGAATTTTTCTTTGGTGTCTAATACTTTCTTGAGGGAATGATTTTGGGAAAAACAGCTATTGCATAACTGTTCCTCACAGGCATCTTTTGCCAAGTTCCTGCTTCCTAGGGAATGTTATATGCTCTAATGTATGAAATTATACTATTAAAAATGCTAAGCTACGTTTTGAATCCTTTTTACAGTTTTAGCGGTTCTTGTTGCATCTGCAGGCATGTAGGATTTTCATATATTGGGGACAGAAGGTGTTGGAAGCTCATGAGTATCAGAAGTTTACATGGCAGGCTTCCCATGCCCTGATGTATGTTTGCTTTCACTTCAGGTTCAGGTGCTTCCTATACTGAAGCCCAGTCCCTGGCTGAGCTCTCGTAGTGGGGTTTAGGTAACTAGCTTTCTGGTGGCAAAGGGCATGTGTCACCAAGTGGTTTCTCTTCCTCCCCTGCTGCAGGTGCTGGCCCTGTTCTAGATTAAGACTGTTTTGCCACTGCTCGTTTCTGTTGGTTAAAGCCGTAGGTAGGGTGGCAGGTATACTGGGCTGTGGCTCTCCTGTGAATTTTTTCCAGCAGGAAAAAAAAAATGTCTTAAATGTGTGCAAAATCTTTTTCAGTGGTTGGGACAGAATTAAGTAGAATATTTCGGGGTCATTTCATAATGTGTTAATTAAATTGTTGATCTCTTGATATGTCTTCTGTGACTTATTTGGCACATGACCCTTACTATGGTGGAAGATGTCACAGCATGTGTCCTGTTCCATGTTCTAATCACCATGTGAGCCTTTTTTTTTTCTGTCACAGATGTTACTCCAGCCACATTTGAAACCCCAGAAGTGCATCCAGGTGGCCTTCCACCGGGGCATAAATCCAAAGCTGGCATTAAAGCTGCAGATGAAGGTAGGAGAGTGATGTTTCTCTAGCTGAATTCTTCAGCAGCAGGACTTTTGTGAGCTCTGTCTCCTGTCAGGGTTTTGGGTATTTAGCAGATGTTTAAGGAGTTTCCTTTAACCTTCTAGTAGATGAAAATGATAACTCTGAAGTTGAACTTGTAATGTTTTACATCATGTATGTGAATTCTCAGTTATCTTTTTTTGGCTGTGTAATTTCTTACCTACCTCATTTGATCTCTTGAAGGCAGTAAATTGTTCCTGTGTCACCTGAAATTAATTCTGTAAGTAAACAAAGATTGTAGGGACAGAGCTATTCATACAGTATATTAAAAATGTCTGCTAGCAGCTGGCCACTTACGCATTTTCTCTTTAACACAAATAGCTATAAATGCCATAAAAGGTTTTAGGTGAAAGTTGGATATGTCTTCCAAAAAAAATTTGTTATTGTACCACTCTGCATCCCTGTATTATTTTTTTTTCCACCAAGTTTTGTGTTAGTTATTAGTGGATCTGTAGAAGGCTCACTGTCAGAAGGGATTAACAGTTATGTATAGTGCTCTCATAGGAAGGGAGGCATTAACCTTTCTCAGGCTTCTTCCCTCCTCTTGTTAGGAGAAGCAGAAAAAGACGATAAAGATACGCTTCCAAGTCTGGACAGCTTCTTAGCAAAACACACGAGTGAAGATAATGCTTCGTTTGAGCAGATCATGGAGGTGGCCAAAGAGAAGGAGAAAGTCAAGCATGCTTGGCTGTACAATGCAGAAGAGGAGTATGCCCAGGTAGGGAAATGGCTCAGCGGTATCTCTGCTCTTCAGAGTGACACAATAGGGAAATACCATTTTACTGTATGTCTTCCTTGTTTGATTAAATAGAATATCATCTTACCTTCTGTTTTTAAATCCACCTATAAATGTGAATGAGAATTTGTTGGGTCTGAGCATGGGGCTATTGCATTAGAGTGTTGAATTACTCTTATTACTGAATAAGAACAGAAGGATCTTGATTTTTTTGAATAGTAGGTGCATGGAGTGATCAGATCTAAATCTGAGCTAAGCCTGAGTTTCCTGGATCCTTCCTTTTGCAGTCCTGTTTTTCCCTCATCTGTAACCCAAAACCAGTGTTGACATAGTTGCTGAGGATCCGTCTTTTCCTAAAGCTTTGAGTCAGTGAAGCATTGCATGAAGTGCAAGTATTGCTTTTCTTGGCAGTCTCCTGCATAAGCAGCAATACCAAGGAGAGCAACTGAGAACAGTTCCTGTTGTTTGTGTGTCAGCCCTTTATTATTTACAGTTAGATTGTTTTTCTTATTTCAGTTTTCTGTTTCTACTAGTAATAATCCATTCAGCTGCTGAAGTAAAGTACTGTACACAGTATGGCTGGCTGTGCTGTCTTCTAGGAGCTGTTCTGGGGCTGCCATGTCAATCTTTCTCCATCAGCAGTGAACAGCTGGCCCTGTTGCCAGATGTGTCAGTGATGGATGTGAGCTGCAGTGCCTTTTAATGAAGTTTGGCACTGATCATAAGTGTTCACTGCTGTTGTTGTGAGTGAGCGTTATGTTTTTATCCCAGCTAATGTAAACCCTCAGAGTCTGTTACAATAAAAATGTCTTCTGTGGCCTTTTATGCATCTTCTTTGCTTGAATGCTTTCATCCAGAATTAAAAGGCAGGTAGCAGGAGAACATTCCCAAATCAAAGGGGTTGTTTCAGGTCAAGGTGAAGTTGCCAGAGCTGGTCTTGTGCTGATGTTGTCTGTCTTCCTGTCAGCCAGCACTCTGTTCAGACCTTGCGTTTCCTTGCGCAGCATGGCTGTGCAGCAGGCAACTGCTATGCCTTGTTTAACATATTCAGTGATGATACTGATAATTAAATGTATATGGATGATACCTATTAAAAACCACATCAGTTGATGTCTTTAATACATAGCTTCTGGTGGTAATTGCCTGGTTTAATTAGTGTGAGAAGTTTAAAATGGAGGAACTTACCAATGGCTGACTGTGTTCTATTTGGGTTTTTTTGGTATCTGATACCAATATGCTGGTAGCAGCACGCAAGTAATCAGCTGAATGTCAAATGCTTCCATACCCATACTATGGAAATACCCATACAATTGACAACTGACTAAGTATTGAAGAAGTGTCTGTTCTTTTGTTACTTCTTGCCTCAGCTAATACAGTTTCCAAGAGACTAGGATGGTACAAATATTCTCCTGCCAAGGCCTTGTAGACTGTCTTTATATTAGATGTGTCCTATGTTGCTCTTCCCTTATTTAGCAGTGAATGCTTCATTTGGTTTTTGATTATTAGATAGAGGAAAAACAGAAAAAGTTTGAATTGTCACAAGTGTTGTCACAAGATGTGACAAACAGTCATAAACATAATCTGAGAAGTTAATTCTTTAGTTCTTACTTGATTTTGTACCAGAACTGCATATGGGGTGGTTATTTGCAAGCTTACCTGGGAATGGGATGGTTTCTCAAATGACACTTGCCGGACAGAGTGCTTGTGCCATGCTAGGGTAGGTAGCTGAGCTCATGGTTAAGCTTTCCAAGTTCTGTATGCATGATTAAAGGATTGCAGGAGTCTGTTTCAGACCTGATGATTTTAATTTTTTTCTTCATCGCCTTTTCAGCGACGAAACGAAAACCTGGCACTTCCTTCAGCAGAGCAACAAGCTCTGGAGAATGTGAAAGCTGGACTGGAGACCTGGGAATACACGGCTCGAAACACCCTCATGTATTATCCGACAGGTGAGGCGTGCAGGTTTCTCAGAAGAGGAACTGGTTCTAGGTGGGTTGACTCCAAACAGTGCTTACAGCATTTCTATAGATGACAGAGCAGCTCTTACTGGTAATACTGCACTTTTTCCTCTGTGAAGCTCAGATATGTAAAGTTGTTTAAAAAAAAATCTTCTTTTCTTTTTTTCCTTTTCTTTCTTTGGACCTTGCTCCTTTGCCTCTGATTGCAAAGTTTGATCATGTCCTATATGTCTTTGAGAAACTCATCTGTATTATAGAAACACTTGTTTTCAGGAAGCAAAGCTCTTTGCAGCTTGGTCTGTCTTATTTATGAACACTTTCTTGTCATCTTTATTCATTCTTCTGCTCAAAGAGTGTTTCTTGGGTTTGTTGGTCCCTTGGTTGCTATAGAAAGCTACATCATCTAAACACAGTTTACTTTTTGTCTATAAATGTACTATTGGTACTTTCTGCAAACCAGTGAAGTAGAGAAAAGAAAGTCTTGTTGACTGTTTCCTAAAAAAACCCCAAATCTGATCTTAATTTGTAAATTTCAGCTGTTACAAAGCATATATCTAGTGCAAATTTTGGTTTAAATTAATTGCTAGAGAAACACACTGCAATTGCTGATGGGTTCTGTGTTGTGTAGGAATGTGTGGTAAGTGTCATGTTGGTTGGGAGCTTTAGAACACACTGCTGCCTAGTGTTACCTGAGCCCTTTCTTAAAAGACATTTTGCTTTTCAAGGTGTATCTGATGAGGATGATGTATTTAAGAAGCCCAGGGAAGTTGTCCATCGAAACACCCGTTTTGTGAAGGACCCTTTTAGCCAAGCCGTGAGCAAATCACAGCTCCAACAAGCTGCAGCCCTCAATGCTCAGGTTGGATAATTTTACTCTCTGACTAAAACCTTGTTAGACTCTGCCCTCTGATGTTGTTCATCAACCAGGAGAACTGTGTGTGCTAGATACAGCTGACTCACACCTTTCTCTGCATGAATGGCGTTGTCTTTTTTTAATTTCAGTACAAACAGGGCAAAGTGGGACCAGATGGGAAAGAACTGATACCTCAAGAGTCTCCAAAAGTGAATGGATATGGATTTGTGGCCACCCCTTCTCCTGCCCCTGGTAAGAGGATTTTCGGATTTTTTCTTTTTTTCTGATATAAGTGGACTGCTACTGCGCTTACTTTGATGCTCTGTTCGACACTGGGCTGTCAGTGTTGTTTTAGACAAGGAGATAAGCCTTCTATCCCTATATGTCTTATGAGCTGCTGTCTTTTTTTTGTACTCTCTTATGCCAGCTCAATGCAGTACTTAAATCCTAGTCCAATACACTGGCAAGAGAAGTCATGCTGTAACTGAGAGGCCCCGAGCAAGCTGCTGTGCCGTTGCTTAGGAATCGTCTAAAGGGCACGTGCCACGACAATGTGGTTGCTTGTTTTATCTCTGGGTGATGCTTCTCTAGAGCTTAAAGATAAGAATTCAAGTATTTCACAAACATTAACCTTCCAACGAGTTCAGATGCTTATGTTTCAAAACGAGGAGCATTTGTGTCAGTGTGTGCAGTAGTTTGCTGGGTGATGGTTCAGCCTGGCTCACAGGGATATAGCATATCTCGCTTCCTTCACAGTCTAATCTAGCTTTTTCCTCCAGGTTTGCTGCTTTCTAGATTCTTCCTCTGAATACACTTTTGTATTAGATTCCTTTTATTCAGCTATATTAGCCCCAGAATCAGTTAGAACAAACGGATTATTTTTCTACAGTTGAAATATGGTATCTGAATTTTCAGCTGTTCTTCACCAGCCATTACGTTTCCCTGTCTTTTGTTATGCTAAAAGGTGAACATAGGAAGGCTTTTCCCCCAGAAAGCCTGTAGGTGGCATTTGGAGCGCACCTCCTTTCTCCATTGTAAATGCCTTTTCCAAACCCTGGACAGCAAGATTTTCTAGCCAGTGACTTAATCGGGCTCTTTAAAATCTTCTGCAGTTGTAGCTGTCTGGTACAGGCTAGCCTCAAGATGAATTGAGGGTACATCTGGCTATTACATGTATCTTAAATCTTCTGCCTGTTTCCCTGCTTTTAAGTAGTTCCCTGTGTTGAATGAGTTTTCATACAATAGCAGAGGGGAAGACTAGTACTTAGAGGAAAAATGAAAGTGTCACTAAGAAAAAGCTCACCAAATGGAAAAATAAACATGGAAGGGACAGTGTTTGGGTGTTGTAACATAGAGGATGACACAGCCACAGACAATGCTGTGAGTTTAAGGTCGTGCCCCTTTAATGGGAACCAAATGTTCCTATTCAACATTGGCTGTGGATTCCTCTGTAGTAGACGGGCTCCTTTGTGTGCTGATGAATTTGCTGCATTTCATAATTTGTTTCTATGGATTTCTTATGGTGAACAAATAATCAAGTGTCTTGCATGAGCATGACTTTTAAAATTTGGTTATAGGTGTGAATGAGTCTCCTTTAATGACGTGGGGTGAAATTGAAAGCACCCCTTTGCGCCTGGAAGGGTCAGAAACACCATATGTGGACCGAACACCTGGACCAGCCTTCAAGGTATTTCGCGTCAGGAGTCAGCACGTCTCCTTCTTTTTTTTTGGGGGGGGGGTGAAGGACTAAGAAGGGAAAGGCCAGTGAGTAACTAACAGATTAACATTGTTGTGGGAGTGTGATGCATCTCTGGGCTGTGTTCCCAGTCCTTGAGACTAATAATCTCGGTTCTGCTTGGAGGGTGGAGATGGTCATGGCTCCACATGAAACCTACTTGGTGGAGATACCTGAGGTAGAACACACAGTGTCTGCAGGAGAGTGAGATTCAATATTTGATGATGTGCCCAGACAGAGGGGCTTTCAGAGGAAGCTGAAGAGATGCCTAATTTATCTGATTTTAATGTATGAATGGATACAAATTGTAGGATTTTCCTCTGTCTTGATCTTCTTTCTGTCTCAGCCTGAGGCAGGTGTATCACTTAAGAGTAGAAAGGCAGGCTTTGCTAATGGCACCTGACCTTGCATGGCACCTGTCTCCTGCTGGTATCATTGAATGTGAGCTGTCTGAGACTCTTTGTTTAAGAAGGATGTAATCTGCTCTATGTGCCTGTTTTGTCAGACTCCAAAGCCCTTGACTGGTTCTCCTACTGTTTAGCAATGTCTGTGTTTGCCTGAGAGCTGGCTGACTACAGGCCAGGCTAGGCAAGACACAGGTGACATTGTTTGTCTGGGAGAGACAGCAGGAGGAAATGCCAGAGGTAATGGCTGCTTCCTTGGCTGAACTGGTTTTACCATTTTTGTTACTTGCTAAGGCAGGTTGAAGGTCTCTCTGTCCTCTCTGGCTTTATACAGCAGCAGAGGTGTGGGCTGACCCTACTACTCCCCGGTTTAGATCCCTGTAGGCTGGAATCCAACTGTGAAGGTGCTTTGACTCGTTTTTGCAGCACTCATATGAGTGCCTTGGGTGAGTGAACTGTGATGCGTTTACAGATCCTGGATCCTGGGCGCCGTGAGAGGTTAGGACTCAAGATGGCCAACGAAGTGGCAGCTAAAAACCGAGCAAAGAAGCAGGAGGCACTTCGAAAGGTGACAGAAAACTTGGCCAGGTGAGATTTCTGTTCTGTTCAGGTGAGGCTGGGGATGGTTATTTTCTGATGAGATTTAAATCAACATGTATAGAAAGGGAAGAATGTTGAGTACTGGAAACAGGGAGAGGTACAGTCAAACTAGAAGTTTTTAGAAATTAAAAAACAGTTCATGAGAGGAGGTAGCTGGTGGCTGTTGCTGATACTCCCTCTTGTCAGCGTTACTGTTGTGCCCTACAGCCACCCAGCAATGCACTGGACTGCTGTCTTGCCTCATGGAAGAGAGGAGACTGATAAGTCTTGCTTGACTGGTCATGGGAAGGACAGAACAGGCTCAAAGGAAAAAGTGTGCAGTGTCACTCGGGTCTGGGGGGGATGTAGGAGGTTTCTCTGTCATTTGTCTCTCTAGAGAGATGGGCTGCGTTTACCTGCAGGTGGAGTGACGCCAGCAGCTAGTGGGTCTCATCTAGGGGGGAAGTGGACACAGTGCTTGCCTGTGGAAGCATTGATACTCTTCCTAATAAATGGCAGATTTTTACTGTAAAATCTTTTAAAACTGTTATTCTATTCCAGCCTCACTCCGAAAGGACTAAGCCCAGCAATGTCACCAGCTTTGCAAAGACTAGTAAACAGGACTGCAAGTAAATATACTGACAAAGCCCTGCGAGCCAGCTATACTCCTTCCCCAGCCCACACCGGAACGCCTGGTTACAAGACCCCAGCAAATGGGCCTCATACACCCACAAGCACCCCACAATCTAGGACAGTATCTCAGACACCAGCATCTCAGGATACTACATCGATCACAGACAATTTACTGCAACTTCCTAAAAGAAGGAAGGTATCTGATTTCTTCTGAATATTCCAGTCACCAGCAAGGTGACAGTGAACTGGCTGCGCTCAGCTGTCTGCAGATGGGGTGTTGTGAGCCATCAGTAGTAAGAGGCGTCTAGATACAGCTGCCAGCATGGAAGCCAGCGGTTACAAGATCCGGGACCAGCGCTCCTCTAGACCGTATAGCTAAAATAGCCTGTGATGTGTTTTCTGGAAGCAGAGTATCTCCGGCTGTGCTGTAACTTCCCTTTGAACTGCATGGGTTTGATGCACAGATCTGCTGTAGCAAAAGGATGCCTCCTGCAATGGCAGAGAAGATTCAGGACTCTTGGAAAATGGCGATAATTTTCTTAAGATACATTTCTGGTTTTAAGATGGCCATGCATTTAAATACATTTCTGTACAGCTATATCTATTTATAAAATGTGGTAAGCCTTCCTAAAATGTTGAAGTAGACTTCTTTCCAGCTTGTCAAACTCTTTCAGTTTTGTACTTTGCAGAACAGGGGATACAACTGTGTATATATTGAGACATGACCCAGAATTTTACAGGGCTTCTCTTTAATTTAAGTGGTGTTTAAACTTATGCTCTTGAACATACAGTGGGCCTGTCAAGAGTTGCATACAAAACAGCTTGCAAATAGTTTCAGACATCAGTTCACACTTCTTAATAACCTGCCCTTTTACTGAATCCAAAATGTGGTTGATGCACATGTGAATTCTGCAGCTGGTGTAGTCAAGAACTTGAGAAACGTGAGTGTAAGAGCTGTTAAGTGTCAGCAGCACTTGAAGAAGCTTTCCAATGTGTTTTGACAGTAACTTCTAATCCCTGCAAACCTTATGAGACACAGGTCTTTTGAGAATAATTGTGTTCAGTTGTTCATTCACCTCAGCCGATGTATTATGTCTTCTCTGGTCTCATAGTTTGAGCTATACTTTGTAAAGCAAAAGACGAGGACTATTGCTGAAAGGGTTCAGAGAAACTGAAGTTGAGAACCAGCAGTTCACAAGTTAGACCAACTTTGTGATATTGTTAAAACCAGCCATCCTTAGAGGATCCTGTTTCTCCCCTCCATCCTCTGCAGAATGGGATTTGGCCTGCTGCTTGTGCTCAGGCTTTCCTTCACTCGGGTTTTTGGAACACTCACCCTCTTCTGCATCTGGCAGAGGGGAAGGTATGGATTTTTGAGTGTGCAACCATGAGTGTTTCAAAACTTCATCTATGCACAACCTCTGAGATGCATTGGGCTGGAGCAAGTGGTAAATGAGGTCCTTGCACTCTGCACTCAGGTGTTTTGAGTTGGGGAAGGGAATCCTGTGTTGTTTCTGAATAGAGATCATTTTCCTGACATTGGAATCATCAAATGGCATTAAAGCATAGACTACTGTGTACAAGATGACACCCAGGCTCCATATGTCAGAAATTTTGGGGTCATAAGGAATTCCCTCTAGCACTTCAGGGGATGTGTAGGCAGCAGACCCGCAGAAGGTTTGGCTGAGAATAGTTCTTCCATCTTCATCCCGAGACAAGGATTTGGAAAAGCCAAAGTCTGACAGCTTGATGTTGAGGTCTTCGTCAAGAAGGATGTTCTCGCATTTCAGGTCCCTATGAGCGAAGTCTGAGTCGTGGCAATACTTGATGGCAGAAGCCAACTGCTGAAACTTGATGTGAGCAATGTCTTCTTCCATAGCTCCTGTGGTGTTGATGTAGTGCAGGAGGTCTCCCTTTACCCCCAGCTCCATCACAATGTACACTTTACCAGCTGATGTCTCAAAGATCTCATGGGTTTTGATGATTGATGGGTGGTGCAAACGTCTCAAAGCCTGTATTTCCCTGGGGAGAAATCTTTCCAGAAATTCCTGAGGAGCTTTCCTCTTGTTGATTATCTTGATGGCCACGTTGCATTTCAGCTGGTCACAGTAGGCACATTTCACTTTACCGTAGGAGCCTTCTCCTAGTGTGTTGCTCAGGCTATAGCCTTTCTTTCCAAGCATCGCAGCGTCATCCATGGTGGGAGAGCTGGGGGGAGCTGCGTGTGTTGGTGCTGGTGTGCATCATGCATGGTGGCAGGTGGCCAGCCTGTGCGCCATGGTGGCCACCCCATATGCCATTGTGGCCACTGGGGTGGTGGGAGGGTGGACACCCAGTGCTGGCTGCTGTGTGATGTCACAGGCAGTTGCCCCTGTGTGGGTCATTTGGAAGGACTTTTCAGTTTTTTTATAAAACTACTGAATGTCACCCAGGGCAAAACTTAACATCAGGTCACTGAGAGACATTGGTTTTATATTTAGTTTTCCTAACAGGATGGAAGTAGCTTAGATTTTTTTTCCCTAAAATGTACCTAAGTATATTTATTCACATGTTGGGTGAAATTTTGTCTGCTGTCTTTTTGTATGTCTTGGATGATCTTTTAAGCCCCGCATGGGCTTGCTTGTGGCCTATGGGTGACCTTGCTCCTTGTCAGACAGCTTTCCTCAAAAAGGACAAGATGCTGCTTTTCTTGTCTTCACTGGAGCTGTCTTCAAGAACTGGTTGGTTGGTTTTTTTTCTTATGAGCTTATTAGAAGGAAGTGGCTTCTCTTAAGTTCATTTCCTTCTTGTTCATCCAGCCCCTCCATTTTGTAGTTCTGATGATTGGCTGCTTTTGTGGGCTTGCAGATGGCTTTTTCTTAAACCCTTACTCAGAGAGTGAGTTATATTTTCACTTCCAGCTTCTGGTGTTCTTGAAAGAGGCTCACACCAACACCTTCCTCAGAACTCTGAGGATTACTGTTTTGCATGTTGATTGCTTCACTGTAATCAGCCTCTGGGGCTTTTTGCTCTGCATTGATTTCAGCTTTTTCAAATCTGTTTTTACAGCTGCTACATGTGTGGCTCCAGAGACTTGATGATATTGATGATCACAACACAGGGGCTAGGGACAATCCGGCTTCGTCCACCAGCATGGATGACAATGTCATTCTGAAGAACAGAAGTGGTACTTCTGACAGCCACACTGGGGCTTTTGTTTGGTTTTTCCACCCTCCCATTCTTTGAAAGTTTCAGCTAATTTTTATAATTACCCAAAAGAATGAAGAGCAGTTTTAACCATACATAGTCTGCACTCACAGCTGTGGTTGCTTGAGTATGAGCTGACCTTCTGAGTGTGGGATGAGCACTTGTGTGGTGTGATCCAGCCTGGAGAAGCACCAAGCACCATTTAGCGGGAAGCAGGCGTAGTTAGATGTGTACACCTCTTGCACAACGCCTGAGTACAAGACAGCCTGTGTAACACTTGATAGTCTTGACATTTGCTATAATCAGGTGATATTTTACCAAGAAAACATCCATGGAAAATCTCATGCAGCTCTTTGAGCAGTGTCTGCAGCCCTTTGTAAGGCCTGGGATGTCTGATGCTGTGCTTGTCTTGTGGAGAGCTTCATTCTGCAGTTTCCACTGCCACTTCCAAAACTTATGTCCCTGACACTGAAAAACTCTTACAGGGAACTTGACTTTTGTAGTGTACCTTGTAAAAATCAATTGATCAGTATGGCTTTGCTAGGAATTGTGACTGCAAGAAATTAGCAAATTTTTGCTTTTTTTCAGTTCAGAAATAATTGAAGGCTCTTTTTTTTCTTTAAGAAAAAAAATTTATCAGGTACTTATGAATGTAAAGGGAATCTATTTATTAATGTTTCTTTGTTTCAGAGATGTTCTTTAAGGACTGACCTGGCTAAGTAACAATTAAGTTCTGAGTTAATTTTAAAACCCTCATTATTTCATAATGATCTGCTTATCTCCATGAAAAGTTAGGATATGGGCTGGATGTGCAGAAGCAGGCTGAGATCAGCATGTGTGTTTCAAGCCTAGTGCCTTATCTCCTCCATCATCTCGTTAGATGGTTTGTACCGATTCACTGGGTGCAGGAGCTCTCCTGTTCATGGGATGCACGTAAAGGCTGGGCAGTGTTTGAGGGACTGTGGATGGGGTGTGTATGTGGGTCAGAAGCGGGATGGGGTGTGCAACTTTCACAGAATTTTGAACTGGTTGTGCTCATTCCAAGGTGTAGCTGGAATAACAGAGGAGGATATGATATCTGAGAATGGTTAGGTCCATGTTGTGTAATTCATGCTGAAAAGCAGATTGCATTAAATATCCTGTGGGATGGTGTTGGTTTTGTGTTCACCCTCAAGCAAATTAACCTAGACAGCACTACTTAAAATCGTTCTTGATTCTGCCAGACTGAGGGGCCTTCATGTATTTGCTGGGAATGTAATTTATTTTCAGTGAAATGCTATAAAACTGGATCTCTTGAAGGGGATGTAGTGCTCTTCAGATGGGCTATTCCTGTAACGCCTGCTGTAATGTCTGGTCTCTGCTTCCTGCTGCAGTTCACCCCTGCTATCTGTAATTAGGGAATCGGTAAACTCTTTGTTGCCAGATATTTTTGCTGCTGTAGCACTAGCAGATAATGTGCCGTACAGAGCCACATCCAGTGTGAAAAACCATCTTGGTTCTTGATGACTTGTGAATTTTTTTTTTCTCCGATTTTTCAGAGGGTTATTTTCCTTTTGCTGTTCTGTGTATCTGCATTTTCCTGTGTGCAAGGTCCAAGCACACTTTCTCCCTGAACCAAAACAGCACCTGGAGCTCTCCTAATGCTGCAGAGATGGTGAGCAGCAGCGGCAGTGGGACTCTCCTTGATGGCAGGGCAGGCTGCAGTGGGTTATCGGCTGCTTGCAAGAAATGGTGGGAGCCCCAGTGGACCTGAGGCTGTGTGATGTGGGACTGTAACATAATCATGTGCAGAGTCTGAGTACTTGCATGTGCAGTCTGGGGCTGGTTCCTTGCTTTATGCAGGAAAGATGATTCTTGCTTTTATAAGGGAAAGAGAGGGAATTATGGTTGGAGAACAGCAGAATGTAATTCTTAGAAAGTTGCAAGAAATATTAGTGAAGAGCAAGTGAGGACAAGGGATGAGTTGCTGTGACCTGGACAGAGAAGGCAGGCTCAGATGCCTTAAAGAAGCAAAACACCCATTACACCAGAGATTAATGCTGCTCTTTATTTTGTGGGGCACAGGTAAGAATGCTGAGCAGCGGACAAGCCGCAGCAGAGGGTTTGGTGAGGCACATAAGTGACAAGAGAAACTCCCAATCACCCCACGCTGTGCTCTGAGCACGCAGCCAGGCTGGAGTGGCCAAGGGAGCGGTCGGTGGGTGCATGCACTGCCTTGGGGCAGGAGGCAGCACTTCAGCTTAGTTTTGCTGATCCCCTGCCACCTGTGAGAGCTGTGTCTTGGGGCAGGGAGCTGAGTCTGCAACAGGACTTCCCAAAGGCACTGATCCCCAAGCTGGTTCCTTGTGCACCTTCAGGGCCAAGAGCCCTTCCCTGGGGCAGAGGTAGCCATCCCTGCCATGGTGCAGGGGCTGCAGCTTTCACCCACCCTGAAAGCAGATTTCAGTAGGGGCCACTAACTAGCGTGTGCTACTTCTCTGATTACTTAGCTCTGAAGGGAAGCTGTGGTTGTAGATACTTTGTTGTTTTGGAGGACTGGGCTATTTCTTGCAAAAATAGAGGAAATGGGTCCACTCATGCAGAGGAGTGGGAGATGGAGCAATTCCCACTTCCTTGTGTTTGCATCTGTTGTCTCAATCCCAGTTTGTTGCTGCTGGCCCCACAGCAGCTGGCTGCAAACCCCAGCTCAGCATCAGACCAGGGCAAGAGCCTGATTCGGCCACCCTCCCCGTGACGCCTTTCCCTCTGCTCCGCCTTGGCATGGCAGCTTTTCTCTGCTGCTTTTTGGGCACGGGTGATCTGCACTCACTGGCTAGAGAAATGCTCATTCCCAGTGGGAAACTGGGAGTCCCTGGGACATGGCAGCTCCCTATGCCCTGGGCAGAGGTGCTCAGCATGTTTTTACCAGCACGCTCCATCCTCGCCTCTCATGCCCCGGTGCTGGGCTGTCCCTCAGCTCCCGTGATGCAGTCCCTGGTGCCCCAGCCTCCTGCCTGGGGGCTTGGTGCTGGTGCAGCCATGCAGGGTGGCTCTTCCTCACACCTGCCCATGGCTCAGCCAGGGCATTGGCAATCCCATAATATCAGTGTTTGCCAGCATTACAGCACTTGGCATGACACAGCCTGGGGAAATGGGTGCCTTTTACCCTTCACCTTTGTGCTGTTGGGTGACTGAGCCGTTTATTGCCTGTTTGCTCAAGGGTGCTGTGTGGGTTGCTGTGCTCACCTGGCACACGTGTGTGCTCCAGACCTGCCTCTGCTCAGAGCTGGTGGGGTGCTGTGGGCTGCAGCATGGGGAAATGAGGTCTGCCTTTCCTTGGGACAAAAGCTAGGGACAAGCAGCCTGTGTCCTCTTCTCATGGTGGAGCCATCATAGGGCATTTATACATTCTCATGCATATGGTGTAATGCCCAGGCCCTGGATATTGTGTGCTTGAGGTGAATAAGGAACATCCTGGATCAGTCTGGGGTAGACATGTGCAGCTGGGCTGCATCAAGCCTGTCTGAGAACAGCCTCCCCCCACAGCATCCCTTGGGAGGAACAAAGCTGGGGAGTTTGACACTCCTGCCTGCATGCTGGAGGATGTTGTCACGCTTCAGGTCCCCACGGACGTTTGGATCGTGACAGTATTTGGCAGCACATGAGAGCTGGGGAAATGGGTTTTGGCCTAAATCTTCAGGCAGCCTCCTGCTCTTTGTGACGCTCTTCAGTCTGTCCCCAAGCACATGTCCCCTGCCACGCAGCCCTCCTGCGGCCCTGTAGGGCTCAGCTCCAGGACAAGGAGCCATGGCTCACACTCACTGCTACCCTAGCTCCGGGGAGCAGCTGTTCCCAGCTCTTGGTGGGCATAAGTTTCCACTGCCATCTTTAACTTCACATTTAGATTTGGAAAGAGCATCTTCCCCCACACATGACATGAGCACAACAGCACCTCCTCTGGAGCCAGAAGCAGCAAGTGCCCAGGAAAATCTGCCAAAGCCCCCATCCCCCTGCCTGCGGGTCAGCAGCCAGCACCGGGCTCAGGCAGTGGCTCCAGGGAAGCAGAAGCCATGTGAGAGCAGAAATGTCTGTACGTCCATGGGAAATACCCCTAAGGGAGTTTTGCTGCTGGGTATAGTGAGTAATTGGTATTGAGAGGGAGTATGTAAAATTGGGTCAAAAGGGTCTTTATTGGAATTTAAATGTTTTATTTGTTTTATTTGAAAACTTCAAACTGTAGCATAAAAGTAGGAAACACTTTGTTGTAAACATTTTAAGAAACCACACAAAAACTTCCCAGG